GCTGCGCGCAAATGCAAACATCGAAGGTGTCGGGAGCACGCGGGACGCGGCTCGTTACGTTCGCGAAGAATCACCCGAAACGTCAAAACTCGTTTCCCGAACGCGTTCGCGCGAATCGGTTCGCGCGACCACCCAAGTACCGCGCGATGCGAGTAATCTCGTTAGCCTCGTTGCCTCGCCACTCACGTCCTCCCGTCCACGCTGCGGACCCACGCTAGTCCCCGAGCATTGGCTACCGATCCGAGCGGGAAAAAGAAAAGAAAAGGAAGAAGCACGGAAAGATGGCGATAACGCGAAACGGGGATGGAGAAAAAGACAGTGGCGTAGGAGCGTTGAATTTTCGATATTGCCTGAAAGCACGCGGAAGCAAGGCGAGCCTCGATGGATCGGAAGGCTGCTCGTCATCCTCGCTCAGCTTTCGATATCCTTTCCGTTGACGGCGACAGAGAGGAGCGGGACGCCGAGTTAACATCCGTTTCATCCGTAAATAGGTCTGAAAACGGTGGAAAAGGAGGCTTCTGCCTGCCGCTCGAGCCGTCGAGGAGGCGCAGCCTTTTGAAATCCGCGCGGCAGAAGGCTCGTCTGTTTGCACGGGGTCCTCCATTCACGCCGTCGCCGGCGAATCAATATTGATACGGACCTTTATATATGTGAAGCGCCACGCTGTGCACGCCATTCCGATGGAATGCAATATTAATAGCACGCCGGAACAATATATCGCCGGCTACCTGTGTGCACACGCGTGTACTAACGCCGCGATATTTGCTTAGGCGCGTCCTGGTTCGGGCCTGTCATCGTCGCCCGGATAACGAGCTGTCGCCAGCTAGACAAGCCAGCTAGACGCGTCATTTCGACCGTCTCGGCCATGTTTCCGCGCAAATTAACCCTTTTAGCGAGCACGAGGACGTCGACAACGGGAAAATCGGTGGCGCAACGACGCGTTGGCAGAGAGGATTAATCGGGGGGTGCTCGGCGAAAGAGGGAAGAGCAGTTTTTCGAGTTGATCAGTAGCTAGGGTCAAAGAGCGAGCAGAGCAAACAGAGTCGAAGCAACTGACTAAATCCCGATAGTTGCTCCGAGCGAGATTAATCGAGTCGATACCGAACGACCTAACCGGTCTGAGTTATTAGCCCGAGGCCCACCACCCCGCGCAGCCTGACACAGTTCCGAAGCTGCGACGTCAGGCGTCGCGCGGCCGCGAAATCCGCGACCAACCGACGCGGAAACGAGAACGCCACTCGTTCGAACAAAGATGACAAAACGGAGAGCCGACGTCGCGATGCGGAACGAGATAACGACGAGAACCACGACCGGTAGACAAAGGGATCGAGGACGCAAAAGGGGAGGAACGACAGCTGGCTGTGGAAGAATCGGCACTCGAAGCGTCGCTCTCATCTCGGCCAGGTGTAGATATCGCGCGACGACCGTGGCCAGGCAAATTAGAAATTCTAACGAAGATCAAGCCGAGGTTAAGAACTCGACCGAGAACTCGTCGCGGGAGCAAGAGGAGAGATTTTCCACGCGGTTTGGCTTAGACCCTCGCATTTTCCGCGACGCAGTTTGATACTCGGCAGACTGCCCGCCATTTTGGATTCGCGCCTAACCTCCCTCTCTTCTCGTCTCTCGGAGAAATTGCGCCGTGTAATTTATTCGTGCATAGTCGAAAGCTTGTCACGAGCGTTTTCGCGAATCGGTGTACAGCTGGTTGAATCGATGTTAATTTATCGACGACTACCCCCCACGTCATCGTGTCCACCCTTTCGCGACGGGCGAGAACGGAAAACGAGACGGGAGAGACAGAGAGAAGAGCGAGGGGGTGGAAGAGGCGACGAAAGTCCAGTTCGTCGACACGTACGAACGCGTCCGATCCGCGTGGCGATATTTACCGATTCCCCGTTTAACTGGATGTTTTCGGGGGGTGGGAATAAAAGCCGTGGCCGGAAAGAGGGTGGAACGCGAGGGACAGGCTGGCAAAAACGTGGAAATATGGCGGGTCCGTGGAGGCGGCAGTATAATTTCCGACCGTGCGCGGCTCGCCGAATTCTCGTCAGCGTTTCATACCCTCCTCTCGCATCTCTCCGGCTACACACGCGCCCGTTCTCACCCTTTCTCGCTCGCAGTTTGTCTGCATTAACGCTCAGCCGGGCGACCGTTCGACGCCGCGGTGAAAACGTCGGGAAAGGAAGAAGCGGGAAAGCCGGGGAAATTCCACTCGCGGAAAAGCCACGTTCGACGTCGCGACGCGAATTTTCGCGAAACCTCCCGCTGTATTTTCCCTCGCTCTTTTCACCGCAGCACACGCGACACACGCGTCATCGTCATCGTCGTCATCGTGGTCATGGCTGCCGTCGCCGCCACCAGAGGGCTTTCAGCCGGCAGGGAAATCGTATCGCGCCGGAAGCGCGCGAGTGCTGTTAATTTTTTTACGAGGCCGTTACTCGTTAGTGCCCTTTGAAGAGGCTTTAAAGAGCGCGATACGCGGATAGCCGACCCGCTATCTCCTCCGACCCCGTCCCCGACCCCTTCGCCCTGCCGGTTGAACTATTTCCGTGGCGCGACCGTGAACGCGGAATGTAGGCCCTTGTCACGCGACGAAAGGTCAACTCTCGCAGCACGTGAGCAATTTCCAGGAAACTGCCCCCGCGTGTACGTGCGCGACACCACCCCCCATCGATCCGGCCGCCGACACCGAATTCGCGGGACCATTGCTGGTCTGCGGCCTCTCCGGCGGCGAGACGCGCGCGGATTACGCGTCCGCTCGTAATCTCTCCGCGTAATTTCTCCTCGTAATTTCTGCTCGTTAGGACCGGTGTGGGCTTCCAATTAAGCGCGGCTATTTATCGATTCGGCCACCCGGAGGGATTACCGCTCGACCGGCATGCCTGGCGACGAAACAGCTCCCACCCGAAGGGAAACGGCGCCTCGCCGCAGATAATCCGACCTTCGTCGTCCTTTAACGTCCGAGCTTTCGCGGAGATGGTCCGCGATGATTCGAAAGAGAGGTACAGGAAGAACGGGGAACACTCTGCGAGCTTCCTAGCAGTCGTCGGATTTCGCGACGAGGCTCGACAACGCGTGCGGAACGGCGCGGAAACGTCGGGAAAGTTGCGCGCGTAACCTCGAATCTCGAAGCCGGCCGCGCTGTAAACAAACGTTACGTCAATCAGGACAACGATCCAGCGGTGATGCAAGCTGCGCGTAACGGGCTTCGACTCGCGATACGAAAGCGATAAGGAGCCACGGTCGAGGCTCTCTCGTCAGCTGATTTTACCACTATTCCCAGCAGCGAGTCGACGCTGCTCGACGTTTCGAGCGGAAAAATTTCCCGATTAACCCCTCGCGCTACGCTGAAACTCGGAAAAGGCCGTGCCAAATCCGCGCGCCCGAATGGTTAGGTTAGGGAGGAGACTGAGTGTCGAAATTTGAAACACGATGTCTTACGGATCGAGTGCGAGATAGCCGTGAGTCCATTTCACATAAACATGTTTGGTCCGAAATGTCGATAACGAGTGGGACTCGTGATATTCGTGTTTGGCCCGAAATGTCGAGCACGAGTCAGACTCGTGTTATTCGTGTTTGGCCCAATACGTCGATCGCGTGCCAGACTCGTGATATCCACGTATGGCATGAAATCATACAACGGGCCTCACTCGTGATATTCAAGTTTGGCCTAGAATTTTCATCACGAGTCAGACTCGTGAAAACAGTGCAAGGGGTTAAAAGAATTGCCATGGATTCCATCCATGACGAACTAAGGTGGCGCTACGGAAGTAACGCCGAGGAATGAGATAGTAGATGGCGCGATTACGATGGAACGATTAGTCGTTTCTGCTATTTCGATACGAAATGGCGGACGGACGGTTTTGAAGTTGTCGTGATTTTTCGACGTGGAACGGTGCGCAGGAAACAACGATTTAAACGGTGCCTGCGGAGTCTTCTCATCCGGTAAGTGATCCAATCCCGTTTAAGAGGCACGAGGGGTTTTGAAGGAGCAAAGAGACCATTCCCCGGCTCTCCATAGCGGCGGCTATGTGCCTTATCTAGGGTGGTCGCGTTAAATCGTGACGCGTGACCGTGCATACTAAAGACGTATGTACCTAAGCGGCGTTTTCCCCTTCCGCCGACCGGTTCCACCCTCTGCCGCGATTCGTTTGACGTATGTCGAGCGTCGGATAAAGCCGGCCGTGAACGGTATAAATTGTTCCGAGATCGTAACGAGGACCGGTTCGACGTCGTTCCCGATCCGAATCGCGGCTCCGCGCCACTGCGAGCGATCTAAAGCCCCGTTCACGCGAGCCGATGCGATCGGGCAACTTTACGGACTACCGGAGCAAGTATTCGATGGGAATTCGATAGAGCGGAGGGTATTTGCCGTGGAATCGCTGGGTAATCTACGAGACCGGGTGGTGCCCGGATGGTGGTCCTCTCCTTTCGAGTCTCTCTCCGTTCCAGAGCAACTTACGCGCGTTAAATTAACCCGGTATAGCCGGACTCGTATCGGACGGGATGGAACGGATCGGGTGAGTTTTCCGACCTGGAACGACTACCATTCCAGGTGAGCGGATCGTTTCGCGGAAACGCAGTCCCGTTCGATGGTCGGACGCGAGACGCAGCGCGGGAAACAGGGAACAACGGTTGTCGGGCAGAGGCCGTGACGCCGACGGCACGGAACGGGATCGCTTATTGGTTCGGTCACGGACCGTTTGTCGCGATTGGTCCCCGCAGACTAGCCGGAAAATACGGGTCGAGACGCTGTCGTTCCTTTCAGCCGGAGCGACGGCATTTTCCCAGGCCCCGTGGAACACCATCTCACACGGTTGATTGGAAATTTTCCAGAGGAACTCGGGTTCGCGACATGGTCGACCTATCTCTTCCCCCCCCCCATCGCCCCCCGGGGTTGACGCGGGAGTTCCGCGAAAGTCGGAGACCGGCCGGTGGAACGCGGTCGGAACGGGAAAAGAGTCGAGCAAAAAGGAGAAGAGCAAGGTAAACAGACTCACCTTCTCGCGAAGCATATCTCGCACCCTGGTGGCCTGGCTTCTGCTTCTGTGCAGTTCGAGCTGCAACTCGAGGCACCTCTCCTGCCAATTAAGCTCCTCCACCGCGCTCGAGTATCCATCGAAGCTCTTGGACGAGCCGTAAGCGGGTCTGCTCTCGAGCTTCTCCTTCTTCGCGTCCGAGCTGGCTGCCGCGGCCGCAGCCACGGCGTTCCTCTGATCCACGTACAGCCGATTATCCGCGAAGATTCTGCCAGTTTGCTCCGGCTGTCGGCCGGAGAACGAGTAAGCTCGGTCAAAGTGGGCGCTGCGCTGTGGCGCCGGCCCGGGGTCAAAGTTCGATCTGGCCCTGGCGAACGCGGCCAGATCCTTCACGTCGTAGCAGTCGGAGGAGGAGCCCTCGAAGTCGGTCTGCGCGGCGAACGTCCGTTTGTCCGCGTACTCCACGTGGCCGCTCGACTCGGACGTGAAATCGTACGGGCTACACTTTGGCTTCGTGTCCCTGAGCTCGACGTAGCCCGCGCTTCTCGCCGCGTCCGCGAACCCCTTGTTATTATCCTTTTGGAAGAGCAAATTCGGCACGTTCACGTACGGCGAGTCCCTGGCATGCACCGGAACCGAAAGACTTCCGGAGGCCGCGATCGCCGCGGCGTGATTGTTGTTGGCGTTGTTGGCGTGTCTGGGTCGCGGCGGTGGGGCCGGCGCCTGGCGAAATTGCCTTGGCCAGAGTCGAGGACTCTCCGCTCCGCTTGGCAGCCCGCCGCCTCGACTCGTCGACGACGACGACGACGACGACTCCGCTCCGGTTTGTTGTCTACGCGCCACCACGACCTCGGCTGCTGCTGCTGCTGCTGCTGCTGCTGGCCCCGTTTGCGCGATGCCACCACCGCCAACGCTAGTCGCCTCGTGACCCCGTACACCTAGCCTCGGACTGCAGGGGGCCGAGTTGGAGCCGAAATCGGTCGCGAGCCGCGCGATCGGGTCGAGGATCTGCGAGAGGCGTCGCGCCGGGGAACCTCGCACCTCCTCCATCCTTTGTCCTGGCTCGCCAACGCTTGTCCTAGCTGCCTCCTTCTCGTGTATCCTCTCCTCGAGACGCGCGCCGCTGGCGTCGCCCTCAGTGCATCGCTCGACGGCGTGGCCGGGCCCTCGCGTTCCCTGCTTCCCTCGAGGGATCACGTTGAAACGCGCGCGGCCATCTCCCGGCGATCACGATGATCTCACGCGTGCATCCTGCGTGCATCCTTGCTCACATCCTCGCGGCTGCACGGCGACCTGCAACATCCCAACCCACCGACTGACACACCACCGACATCACTCAACCGTGGGATCGCTAGATCGCTAGATCGCGTCGCGCGTTCGGACAGCCACCACCTATCTCTCGCTACCTCTCGCGTGATACGCTACCGTCATACACCGTTATTTACCGCGTCATTGTAATCTCCGCCTCGAGAGTGCTGCCAGCGAGAATATTCGCGTAACCGTACGTTACGTTTCCTTCGATCGTACCCGAAGCTTTCGCCGCTAGCTCGCCACTTTGGAACCCGTCAGATTTTTCCACCTTCGACCACCGCTCGTACCTCGAGTTCCCACACGCCCCGGGCGCTCTTCGTCGTCTTCGTCGTCTTCTCCGTAGTTTATCTAACGGTCACGTGGAAAGCGGCGACAAGACGTCCGAGTTGGGTTCGGTAATCGCGACGAGGATAACGCGACGCGTCCGTCGCAGCTCTAATCGCTCGGCTTCGCCGCCTGTCGCTCGCAACTTCGAATCCAGCGGTATCCAATTTGCGCGTGACATTAACGAAGGACGCGTAATCGTCCTCTCGCGCCGCTATGCACCGACGTGCACCGACATGCACCGACACACAGGCGTCTCTCCCCGCGGTTGGCCTCGCGATTTAATCGTTCCACTGGAAAAACGGTGTTCCTTGGCGCGTCGACGTCGCGGTCTAGCGACGAGCAGAGACAGCTCTCCTCTCGACTTACCGAACAACCGTCCGACAACTTTCGCGAACTCGTTTCCGCGGGCTAGGCTGACGAGGTTAGACCAGGAAATGGAAGGCAGATATTAACTCGCGGCGAGTGTTTGCAGTACTAAATTGAAAGCTGTAACTCTCTTTGGGGTGTCTCTCGAAACGCTCTCCTCTTTCTCCCTTCGTCCCTCCCTCTTTCATTTCCTTCGGCCGCCGCTTCTTCGGCTGACTTGGCGTGACGAGACGCGCACATAGAGCAAAAGGGAAGGGAGGATTGCAGAGGAGAGCAAGAAAGTACAGAGGGGGTAGAGAGTGGAAGAGACGACTGCGACGACGACAACGACGACGACGATGGCGACGAAGACTAGGAGGACGACGGCGACGCAGGGCTACAAAGTTTATTTTAAGGTCGACGCTAAAAGGGGCGAAATGAAAAACCGGATGGAGGGGTGGGCCGTGTAACGCTCCGTTCTGCAATTACCGAGCGAAACGTCTGCTCGTGGAGAGGACGGCCGCCAAACAGGAAGGACAGTAGCCTCTATTTAGCGAGGTCACCGTGGTATTATCGAGTATCGGAGTTTACGCGTTCCAGGTGAGAAACTGCGGGAAGGTAAAGACACGAAATGTCGGGTCAAGGCCGTACGAAACGCACGTAAGTTTAGACGCTGACTGTTGTTCCTATTCTGGTAATCCTCTTAGCATTCTCAATGCGTTGCTCCTTTTATTCCTCCCATTCCTTTCCCGTGTCCCAACGTGTCTCAGGATCTACCTCGTTAAACGATCGCTTCCTCTAGTACCGAGAGTGGCGTTGCTCCTTTTATTCCTCCCATTCCTTTTTCCCGTGTCCCAACGTGTCTCAGGATCTACCTCGTTAAACGATCGCTTCCTCTAGTACCGAGTAAGTAGTCCCAATCACGGCGAGGTATAAAACCGAAGGGGGGGTTCTTTTCTCTCGTGGAACGATCTACTACTGATCTAGGACAAAGTCTGTTGACGGAAGTAGGCGGAGGAGAACGGGAAGAGAAACAACGTCAACACGATAGTCGGATGTATATAGTTGGCAGGGAGGAGGATTTTCGATCGTTAGCGACCACCACGCACGCACGCAGTGTGTGGGGACTTTATTCACAGAAGATGAAGTCATCCGCGATGACTAGATGATGATAGAGGTTGGTTAAGTTGCCAGGAACGATTTCGAGGAAAGTAACCCCACCGTGTGTGTCCGCGAGCTCGGATTGGCCACCGTCCACGTATTTTGGCCAAACAGTAGTAGTTTACGCGTTGTAGGTCAACTCGGGATCATCCGGAAGAAATCGAAGGCGCCGACGAGAGATTCCAGTGGTCACCCATCCTTCCGCGATTCCCAGAGAATGATATTTAACACGGAATACCACCGATCCTATCATCCTATCGATAACTCCGTGGTACCTTGGTACCCAGATCATTCTTTAACGAGGTAAATAAACGCGTACAGAGGTACTGGCACGATTATCGATTTCGGATTCCAATATAGGCGCGTAACGCGCGGAAGCCATTACGGATATCGCGTGGCGGAATATTTTCGACGTAACGGGGATATTTATCGAATTATAAGCTACCGGAGGAGGCGCGAACCGAGACGGGAAGAAGGTTCCCGAAGGGGAACCACGGGGCACGAGCGAATCGACACAGGCGAGCATAGCGTAGCCATGCAGACGGCACTCGAGGCCGATAGGATCAGCCGACTAGCGCAGTCAAATAACGAATAACGAGAGGCCTTCCTCCTGCCATTCGGGGATGCGTGAGAACTCCTAATCAGCATCTATTCACTTAGACAGCCAGTCGATTCACGAACCCGATACCGCGCAAGCCACGTAATGAACATACGTAAGAGGGCTTGGTGCGACCGTGAATACTTCGAATTAAGTCGACGCGTTCTCGCGAGTCTAACCCGATTTTCTTGCGAGTCGAGTTTCTCCCCATTTTCCTTCTTTTCTTCGAGATCGAGAGCGTTGAGATCCGTCGATTCGCCTCGGCCAATTACGATAATGGAACCGATTCGGGATCGCAAAGGGGACAAACGCAGAGAAGAGGGACGGGGTTGTCGCGAAGCGACGAGACATCGACGCCAGGCGTCGAGTCAAAGGACCGTCTTTCGGCGTTTTCGTCGGAGAAAGGGGTGGAAGGTTTTTTCTGGACACAAGGGACCATAGTGGCGCGCTGCTTTCAGAGAAAACAGTAATTATACAAATTGATGGCGCGGCCGGAAACCGAATCTTCGTCTGGAAATAGCCGGCTCGTGGGCCCTTTACGCATCCTCTCTTCTCTCTCTCCCTGTCTCCCCTTATTTTTACCCCCCCTCCCCGATGCCGGGGGAGATTCGTCTCAACACTTTACCCACCGATGGCCTATTAATCGGCTTCTTGTCACCGACGCTTACCAATCTATATAGCCTATTAATCCGTTGTCACGGCGATGAACAGTCACTATCATAATATGAACGGTAATTTGTTATTCAGTGTTATAGTAAAATTCAATAGAGAAGCAAACTCTGCATCCCAGCGGTGTGGGGGTGATCCCTTCCCTCAATGTTCTGTCTTTTGTCACCAGTCTTCTGAGCACGACTTTTGACCTGCGAGACCCTGAACAGTTCTGTTCTGACCATTCGTCCGTTGAATAAAGATTTGCACAGTTTCTCTACAGTTTTTCCACGGTTTACTATTCCTTGCGTAACAACCCCTTTAACCCTTTGCACTCGAGATGCGCCTCTGAGTCACCATTAAATTACATTCTAAAGATCGATGTTTATCAATACATCAAATTCAAAATTACCCAACGGTGCGTGCAATGTCGAAGTAAATTAATTCTACGTCTTAATTTGCATGCGATTTCTTATTTGCCATTTTAAAAATATCCTCGACTTTATGACAGAAAATCCTCGAATTACTATTTCTCTGTAACGAAAACATCGTCGAGTGCAAAGGGTTAAGTTGCTCAGTTGTATCAGTCGCGTTGCTTCGTAAGCTCGCCATTTTTATATGGGGGGCGCCAGGGAGAATCTGCGACTGAGCCACCGGTCGGATGTGCTTATACGTTGAATAGCTAACGGTCGGTAAAATGTTAACACCAGTGTCACGATGGAACTCGATGATCGAAGCCTCGCGAACTACCTGTAGCGTTTCCTCCTCGTCGACGGATACCGGAAACGAACGGATACCGACGCCCACGCGATCTCGCGAGGAGGAGGATCGATCGGAACCCCGGTAGCTTGTGCTAAACGCGATACGAAAAATAAACACGCCTTCGTGGAACATCCTACGTGAGAGACAAACGTTACGCAATTGCACTCGTAATCGACAACGATCCTCTCGATTCCAGACGTTCGCTCGCTCGCGTTACGCGTCGTTACGTCAGCCCGACGCGTATTTTTATCCATGGAGAAACGATTCATCGAATCGACCAGTCCGTCGCGTTCCTCGAGCGGAAAGATCCGACGAAACGAAGAAACCGGGTATCGATTCCGCTCGAGCTTCCATAAACCGCGACGTTTTAATAAAGCCCCATGCAACGCTCGTATCCCACGCGTTTTATTATTACTACGCTGTAAATCCATCCAGCCGGTGTGTATCGGCATAGGCTGATTTTACGCCGCTCCTCTCGCTCTCTTTCTCTCTCTTCCACCCGCTGCATTTTCTGCAAAGTGTACGCGCGTCTCACTCGCCGAAGGATCGAACCCTCTCGCGCCCGTGGCCGCGTAATATCGCCGGTTTTACGAGCAAGCGATATCTTTTTCCCCGCGATACCGTGTACTTTTCGGATTGTCGTTTTCACCAAAGAAACGCTCCTCGGCCGCGTCGCGTGACCCTTTTTGGATACACGCGAGATATACGGCCGCAATAACGGCCAGTTCCGCGTATAAATCTGAATACCTACTCGAAATACCTAAATCTCCCCGATAAAATCCGTGCCCCCTTGTTTCGAGCCGCTCGGCCCAACATTTACTGTGGGACCACCGCGAACTTTTCCCAAACTGGGCTACCGATACACGGACCACGCGATATCCCACTCGAGATCCCATTCAGCGAAACCAGATCATCCATCGATACCCTATCCGCCATTTTCTCTTCCCGCGGAATTTCCCAGAATTTCCCAGAGTTTCCGCGAATTTGCAAGTAGTCGACCTGCTAGACTACCGAGCATCCCGATCGATCGATCGATACGGACTTAATTCTTAATCGTAATAAAATTACGTATTCATAGAGGGCCGGCGTGTTCTCCTTTAGCCCTGCCTCACCCTCGCCCTGCCGCGCGTAGGCCTACGAG